TTAAAATTGGAAATTGGACATCAACTTTTTTAACCTGACTTAGTAACCTTTGATTTAACCATTAAACCCTCCAGAGTGGATAATAAGTAACTCCTTACAATTTGCACACACACACACACACAGGTTAGGAGAACTAACAAGCTTATCAGGCAAAGGTGTTACAATATATAAGACTTAAATGTCTAGTTAAATTTACAAGGAAATGTACGTGTAAAGGAGTTAGAAGAGAATTAGTCATTGCATCTTCAGAGTTAAAGGTTTAACAGAGTGTAACTCTTGCTTCTTTGATCTCTTAATGATCTGTCTTAGCACTTAGGAACAACAAATCAAAAGGAACATTAACAGTTGAATATTGACCACATTTGAAGACATAATTCTGCTCTTGTGGTTATGTGACTCTGTGGAATCTCAAACCTAGAGAAATAGACTTTAAAAGCAGATATAAAAATGAGGATGTTTCTGAAGAACACCTCCTTTATGAGTAAACAATCGCTGACCATTCCACCAAATACAGTGCTACATGCTCAGCATCAAGTCATAGGAACTTCACAAGGGCTGTCATTAGAAGCCACTTGCCAGCCACAACCCTCAAGCTGCAAGACCATTTTGTGCAGGCTTTTTGTGCGAGTTGTGATTAATGACAGAAAATAAGTGTTTTTGAAATGATTCTATAATCAATGTCTGGATAAAAAAGTTACTTAAATATTTCCCAGAATGCTGGAAATCATATCTCAGCGAGTTTCAAATCTCAAATTTTTTTCTGGGGGAACAGGCTTTGCAACATGTCAAGCTTGCTACATAAGGATAATTCCATTTAATCGCCTACTAAGTTCAGACCATACATCCAACACATTTTCAAATGACAACCCGACTTTACCACCATTGTTTTGTTCATTGTCCAAACTATAAAACTAAATTTTGCCTCTTCCCAGAAAATTTTACACATCATGACTCACATTAACAGAAAACAGAGAGGACATCTGGTAAGTTATGAACCACTTATCAAGCAAACACCTTGCACCAGCTAAACAAATACTATTCCAATTAACAAATACTATTCCACAATTAAGAGGTTTGACAGATTGTTCATAAATATATTAACATTACTTTTGGACAATGGATCTGTTCCTATGCAGATGGAAATATTAAGAGCAAGTCTACACCACACAAGTGAATAGTTGTTTTCCCTTGCACTGATTGGCCAGCCTAAAATTGATCTACAAGCAGCTGATGACACTAAATTGTGGAAGAAGAGTTCAAATTTCCAACCATTTTTGGTATTTTACTGCAAGAATTAAAGTAATTTAGTGCTTGTTGTGTGGTTTATACCACAACAGGTCTTTCCTTCAATAAAGCTGAAAGTTGTGGACATTTACCATTACTGCTACTTATTTATACTTCATTGAATTTATATGAACTGATAGTACATGGAATCACAGTTTTGCTTTTGATGTGCATTTCAACTCCTCAGCTAGACTTCTTTTGACAACAAGATAGAGCAAATAGAGTATAGTTAACGGAAAATACAAACACAAACAAGGTAACTTGAAAATTCAGGGAGGAAAATTCCAGAAATTAAAAGTAACTGAATGCCTATTTTCTTGAGAGAGATGAATGCCTTTTAAGACAAGTCTCAAAGTAAGGTGAAAATAGACAGGTGACAATCACCTGCCATGTCTGCAAATCCAGCCAATTTTTAAAATAAAAATCATATTTTATTTAGATTCAGTAGCAGAAATATTTCTGTAAATTTGATGAGCTTATTGTAAACGACTTCAATCATACTTTAAAATTAACATCAATATTTTGCTTTCAAGCACATGTTTCATTTCTTATCATTTATAGGAAAAAATTTAAAAGAGATGTTACTGATATGCTGTTTAAGCCAAAAATGAAAAAGAAATGCTACAACTCTGATCATTTCCAGAAAAAATTACAAAAAAAAAGTTTTTATTTGTATGTTGTTTGAGCCAGAAAAAAAAATGGCAGCACTTATCATT